CTTTAACACTTGCCTGCGCTAAGCTTGCTAACCGCCAGCAAGCAAATCCATTCAAACCATCCTATAAGCAACCGCGGCGGTGATTCAAGTGGGACCGACCTATCCAGGGGACTTTGGGACCTCCTCGGACTTCCTGAGGCCTCCTGGTACCTCGTGGGGCCCCGCCGGCCCCCAAGAGGCCCCCAGAGGTCCCAGAAAGAAACCCCCAGAGGTCCCATGTGGCCCTGGGAGGCCCCAGAAGGTCCTGGAGGCTCCAGGAACCCCCCAGGACACCCAGGAGGCCCCCTGCGGCCCGAAGAATCACGACGTGCAAGGAGACCCCGGGAGGCCCCAAGAGGTCCCCTGGGTCCCAAGGGGCCCCCCGGGCAGCGGCCCTCCTTCCTCCGCCGCCCCGGGGAAGGGCCCCTCCCTCTTCCTCCTTCTCTTCCCCCTCATCCTCCTCCCGCCCTGGATGAAGGGGCCCAGGGGCACACAAATAAGTGCACACGAATAAAAAGACTCCATCCCATATGTTCTGGGTGTTGTCTTCCCCCCACTTCCCATATGTCCCTGGGAGTCGACGACTCCTTGTGTCTGTGTGTTTCTCCCCCTCGCTCGCGATGGCCGGCGTCGACCGCCGCGCCCTGCACACACGGCTCCGGACGGCAGCCGCAGGAGCCGGGCGCGCGGCACCCGACCCCCCCACCCCACGCGCGAGTACGGTCGCGCGCGGGGCAGGGTGAGTGACCCGGGGTCCCTGGGACCGATACGACAGCACGGCGCGGTGCCCGTCCAGAGATACCAGCGACCGGGGCCGAGCCACAGAGCGCGACCGCGACGGGGACCGCGAGCGCGACAGGAGCGGAGGGTGGGGCCCGTGGCAGCGACAAGACGACCGCCGCAGCCCTGAACACAAGGAGGAACGCCGCCGCCCTGATCACAACCGCCCCTGGGAAGACCGCCGCGTCAACTGGCCGAGACGCCCGGACGAGACGGCGGCCACCAACCTGAAGAGGCCGAAGGCCGAGGGAGGTTACTTCTTCACCGCAGCCTGGCACTCTTGGTGCAAGCATCTGGGCCAAGAGCGGGGCAAGACCAAGGACCAAGTCAAGTTCGATCCGTCCTGCTGGAAACCCGACATGATCGATCGCTTCCTGGAGGGAATGGCCAACAGCCGCTACAACGTGGGCACCTGGTCCCGGAACGCGGGCGTCTACGTCGACTGGGAACGCGAAAACACCCTGCATCAGGAGTTCCAGCGGAAGCGGGAGGTGGCCAAAGGCGAAGGGCGCGGAGATGGCCAAGCACGCGGCTCTGGGTACACCGACAACTGGACCTGGAAGCGCCCCAGGCGCTGACCTACCCTGAACTCTCCCCCTGACGGCGCCGCCCAGGGTGCCGCAACAACCGCCCCTCCTGTCCTTGGCAGGCCTCTTGGCGCTGTACTCCAGGTACGACCAGTTCGTCGCCGTCCACAGCGCCCGACCCTGTCTCCCCCCTCTCCCCTCCTCCTACACACCTGGTAGTGGGACGGTTAGTCCCTCCTGATCCCGCACCAATTGCGATATCGACTGGGACTGCAAGTGCCTTGCATAAGGAATCTGGCGGCACATGGATACGGCCATGCACAACGGGCGCGGGGGACGGCCCGCTACGCGTTCCGAATGGACACTGACACGGGGTACAGCGCCCAAGCGCTGACGCACAGCAGCGCTTCGAACGGTCCGCTTGACCCCGAACACCTCGCCCGAACCGCCCCCCTGGCCCTGGCACGCACCACGGCGCTTCTCTTTGAGTACGGCCTGGTCGACGCCTTCGGCAACTTGCCCCCCCCCTCCCTCCCCCCTCCTTTACCTGAGTATGGGACGGTTAGTCCCCCCTGATTCCGCAGGATCTCCCTGCCACCAGCACCGACGCTACGCTCCGCTGCTGGCGCGGGGCTGCCCTGGCGACGGCTGGCCCGCCTGGCCGGCCCTCCTCCTCCCTGCCCGCTTCCCCCTCCCCGCTCGCTACCCCCCCCATCCCATGGCGGCAGTGCCCGGCACAGCGCGGCTTCGGCCCGGTGCCCGGCGCTCGCTCGTACCTTGCCGCCTCCGCACCCCCGCGGTCCTGGGCGCCCTGGGCACCACGGAACGGCAGCGCAACGTGCGCGGCTTCGGCCCACTCCCACGCGCTCGCCACTGCTGGGCAGGCGTCCTCCCTGCAGCACACCGGCACCCTGTCGGTCATGGGCGGCATGTTCCTGACGTGACCTGACAGCCGCGCCTCAGACTGTGGCTCTCTTTCCCTGTGTACGTGGCACCTTGGACTACCACGGCCTGGGCCTCTCCTGCATCCTGTTCGGTGGCACAACGTTGCACTCCGACCCAGTTGTGCTCCTCACCCTCTAGGGCGTCGCCCTGGACATGTGGTGCGTCCTCTCCCGCGGCCACTTGAGGCTGGTGTACATGACGCGCCGCTGACGGCACCACCACCACAGCATTTTGCTTCTTCCGGTACTTCGCCACCGGGTTCCTGTAATTACAGCCTGTACAAGGCGTTTCGTTGCATGCCCATCGCCTTCGGCACTGCCTGATTCCAGGGCTTTGCCCTCTCTTGGCCTTGACGTGAGGCCCCTCCTTCTGCCTTCCCCCCTCTGTCAATTAAAGCTGTGCGCGGCCCGCTTAGCTTCGACCGGAAGAGGTGCGCTCTCGACCCGCGGATCAAAAAAGTGTTTCTTTCCCTCCTATCTCATCCTCCTCCCGCCCTGGGGACCCCTCACTCGCCGCGCCTCGACGGCGGCGGCTGCGGCGAGGGAGGGGTCTCCAGGTCGGGAGGGCGGAGAGGAGGCGGCGGCGACGGCGGCGACGACGACTGTGTGAGCGGCGGGGGTGACGACGACGACGGCATCGACGGCGGCGACGACGACGCTGACGGACGGCCGCGAAGACGACAGCGACGGCGACAAAAGCGGCGGCGACGGCGACGGTGACGCCGGCGCCGCTGGCAACGGCGGCGGCGACGCCCACGACAGCGACGGCGGCGACGACGGCGACGACGACGGCGGCGGACGGCGAAGACGACGACGGCGAAGACGGCGAGTGGGGACGACACCGGCGACAGAGACGACGACTACGGCGACGGCGACGGCAACGATGACGGGGAAGGCGACCGACGGCGACGGCGACGACGACGGCGACGGCGACAAACACGACGACAGCAGCGGTGGCGACGGCGCCGCTGGCAAAGGAGACGGCGAAGGCAACGACGGCAACGACGGCTTCCCGGCTTTCACGCCGATTATGACCGCGGCGGTGGCGCCGACGACGGCAGCAACAATGACGCGGACGGCGATGACGAGGGCGGCGACGGCGACGACAACTGCGCGGACGACGCTGGCGACATCAACGGCGGTCGCGACGGCGACGATTATGAGGACGGCGACAAACGGCAGCGGCGACGACGAAACTAACGACAACAACAAAGACGGCGGCGACAGCAGTGGTGACGGCGCCGTCGACATTGACGGCGGCGACGGCGGCGACGGTGACGAAGATGACGACGACGACGATGACGACGCTAGTCTCTCCAGGAGCCGTAGTGCTTTGTCTTCTTGTGATTACAGTATTCTGACATGATTTCACAGATGTCTTGAAATATTATAGCTTCATGTGGTGTCATGTGGTTTCATGTTGGGAGGTTTTCCGTCTGGTGCATTCAGACGTACTTCACCATGGTCGACCCAGGCCCCATGACGAATTTGGAGTCGATGCGTCCCTCTTGAACCGATACTCCCTTCTTCACGTTACCACGATCGTTGTCTGGGTTTCGAGTCGTACTAAGCTATCTGGCGGCCGATCGGGGCTCGGGGCGATCCAGACAACCCAGGAACGCTCTCGGCGAGGCGCAACTGCTGGAACGCATCAGAAGACTGGAGAGCCGCCGAGAAGCAAACAAAACTAAAAAAGAACTCGAGCCTCGAACTTCGAAGAACCCGAAGATTTCGAACCTGAGCATGTCCACCCCTAGCACTGCCCCTGAGCTCCTGGGGAAGCGTGCAGAAAAACCTCGAACCTCGAACCTCGAAGACTTCGAACCTTCGACCCCCCAACGTTGCCCCTGCGCTCCTGGTGAGAGCAAGACCAGCAGCGCGCGCGAGGCTTCCACGGCACGGAGCATCGCGCCGTCGTCCCTGGCATACTCGTCGATGACCCGTACCCCCTGGGGGACGAAGTCCTTCAGCTGGGGCTCGATCTTCTGCAGAAGGATGATAGAAGAGCAAACAAAGGCATATACATGAACTCTCGAAGCTCCGCAAGGGGTTCTTGGATCGGCGCTGGGCTCCCAGCCTGGCGCGCAGAGCGCACAAGAGGGCACAAGGGGGGAGAACCAAGCGTCGATCCAAGAAATTCGCGCGGCCCTCCGATACAAGATTGACAGAACACCCTTCAACAAAACGCCTTGTTGTGCCAGCTGCCACTTGTACTTCATGCGCGCAAGGCGCCAGTGGACCCAAGCGGGTAGCTAATCGACGTCCAAGAACAAACGAATGTAACAAACCTAACGCAAGTCGATTAGCTAAACCGACTCGGAACCCCACCGGCACGACCGAATGCCAACGTGGACAGATCCTATGCAAAAATCTTCTGTCGACTTGTCTGGGCGGGCATTTCCCAATGCCCGATCTGACAGTTCATGCTTATGCCGGTTTTGTTCATCTAGATGAGGGCGGTGGCCAAAGCCTCGTCGTTGCCGGGCTCTGAGGAGATCAAGACTGCCCTGGGCTCCATGGGAAGGGGCTCGGCGCTGGCCAAAACATCTGTCTCAATCCCTTCGGCACTCACTGCCTCACTGTCGCTGAGGAAGTCGGAAACGTGCTGGAAGCGAGCGATTCCTCTCACGTCACTGCGCAAGTGGACTTTAATGACGTCGTCGCTCATAAGGCTGCGGTACGCAGAGGCAACACTGTCGTTCGTGATGCCGAAGGGATTCAGCGAGCAGCTGCTCAAGTCCAAGTACTTGGCCATGTCCGCATAAGCCTTTTCATTCGGCGGTACGAAACTGTCCGTAACGACCGCAGTGATCTGCTTGCGCCACATGAGTGCAGTGACGATCTCGCCAGCGCACCACGGCCTGCTCAGAGTGTCCCTCGTCAAGTAGACCACCAAGTGGTGAACTTGCGTTTTGACTGTGTCGAACAACGAATCCAATTCCGTGAGGTCATCCGTGTCGGTGAGGACCGGCCTGCCTGTCTTGGACGTCAGCAACATCTTCAGCAGCCGCGCCTGCGCCTAACTGGGGCCCGTTCATTGTCCCTTCGCCCATTCCTGCTGAAGCCGCTGGCTCTCAAACGCTTCTGTTCCACAGCGACGATATCAAGGAATCGAAATCTATACACCGACGCTTCTTCCGGCCCTGCATTGGAATGCGCTCTGGAGAGCGGATCCAAGTGTATACGGGACCCTGGTGTACACATGTTTCGTTGTTTTGCGCGGGACATCGGGGAAAAAGGTATACACCACACCACCCCAGCGTCGTCCTCGACCCTCAAGAAGTCCTGGGATTGAAAAACAGCTCGCCACTGGTAATGTATATGTTCCAGGTTCCGATCAAACGCTTCTGTTCCACAGCGATAATATGTTCTCCTTGGTGCCGATTGTCCTTGCAAGGGCCTCTCCCAGGGCCCAGTGGCGGGGGGATGGGAGGCTGCTTGCACAGCGAGGGTGTCACGCGCCGCGCAGCGCGCGGGGCACCACTACGAAGCAAACGGCACGACGCAGGTGGCACGCCACACGCACGGCCCCGACGCCACGGCGAGCAGATAACAGTGCGTACTGGCACAGAAAAAACGATAACAGTGCGTACTGGCAGAGGAAAAACAACAAAAGCAGTGAACTAGCCCAGGGAAGGTTACAGCCTTGCGTGACTGCATGTCGCGCAGGGGGTGATCCTCCCATCGTATGGTGGGGCCGCATGAAGCTGGGATCGAACATGGCGACCTCATGATCACATGCGGGAACGATCCGTGCGTGGCGCGTGCCGAGTCGAGCAGCGGGGTGGCGACATGCGAGCTCCGCGCCTGGGGCTGTACGCATAACTACCCATGGGGCACAATTCCTGTGAGGAGTGCGCTGAAGTGGGCGAGTGGGCCGCATGCGGGAGCTTCCAGGGCACTGGGAATGACGGCAAGGTGTAAGTCTAAAACCACCAAGGGAACTGACTGGGTACTCGAGATATCGCACCCCGCTGGATCACCGAGGGGCGCAACAGCCCCCCTGTTGTGCCCCCCTTCGCTCCCTGTTGCTCTTTCCTGGTCGCCCTTGTTAGCTTTGCTCGTCCCGCGTCCGCCTGTTGTCCCGCTTGACCGGCCCGCCTTTGATGCTTCCCAGTTCGGCCGCCTTGCGGGCCCTGGGAGGCCTGCGGGACGGTGGAAGCTCTTGGGAGGCAGGGCTGAACCTAAACGGTGTTTGTCGTTTTCGTTTGGTTTTCGTTTTCCCTCGCTTCCGTCTCGAATCCGCCTTTACCGCAAAACGAAGTCGAAACGAAAACGGCCCACGATATCACCAAAAACACCGTTTAGGTCCAGCCCTGTTGGGAGGCCCCGAGGCACCTAGGTGGCCCTGGCAGCCCCTACGAGGCCCAGCAAGGGTCCCTGGGAGAACTGCTACGCCGAGAGACCCCCGGGAGGCCCCGGGGGCCCTGGGAGGCCCCTGGGAGACCCTGGGGCCCCTGAAGGCCTGGGAGGCCCTGGGGCCCCTGGGAGGCCCAAGCGCCATGGGCCCAAGCCCAGCCGCCCGTCCTCACAACAGAACGGTGCTTCTACTCAACGGTCTCCGTCTCGTCTCCAACACAACATTCACACACAACTGTGAACCTCCGTCTCGCACACATCGCCCGTCTACTCGCCAACCTCTGTCTCGAACGCAACACCCATCTGCCACACGGCCTCCGTATCCGACTAAACACCCACTCACTACACCTCCTGCTGTCGTCACCGCCCGGTCCTCTAACGCAACACACATCTGCTACACAGGCTCCGTCTCTTTACCACACACATCTACCACGCAAACTCAATCTGCAACCCAAGCACCCGTGTGCAACAATCGTGCTACCATAAGGATCGCATTATACAACACGATGATATTGTCGACCGAAAGGCGGGCCGGGGAGGGGAGGAGGAGAAGGAGGAGAAGGAGGAGGAGGAGGAGGAGGCGGAGGAGGAGAAGGAGGAGGAGGGGGGGGGGGCGGAGGAGGAGGACGAGGAGGAAGAGGAGGAAGGGAGGAGGAGGAGGAAGAGGTGGTATCGTGTCGCGCAATACACGAGACCCGCGGCAGAATGCTAAGGAACGGCCCGGAAATACGAGCCCCTCCGGAACCCAATGTGGTCCTTATCCCAACGTCTTCACACCATCGCACAGTCCCCGTGTCCAACACGCCACGAATCTGCTTACCAATCGCCCCTTCCATCACAACGCCCATCTACTGCACAACTGAAGGGGCCCTGGGACACACAAATAAATACACACAAATAAACATATTCTCCATATTTTCCCATATTTTCTGAGTTTTCGTCTTCCCCCCCACTGCCCATATTTTCCAATATTTTCTGGGGCATCGAAGATAATTGTGTCTGTGTTTTTTCCTCCTGAATAACCTCCGCCCAAACGCAGAACCCGTCCCTTCAGCCGAGTTCCGCCTCAAGATAATCTCACTTGGAGTACGATCTGAACCCAGGCCAGCCGCCAGCACGCCCGCCCGCGGCCCCGCCGCTGGCTCTTACGAGACACACATCGTCGAAACAACATTCGCGTTCAACACACCACCAGTTGACTCAGCAACTTGCGTCTTAGATATACAACCTATCTACTCAGCAACCTCCGTCCCACACGCAACATTCATCTACTACACAGCCTCCGTCTCGAGCACAGCAGCCGTGCACTCAAAGCACCCATCTCTTCAACGGCCTCCCACTGTTAGAGAGCACCCTTGGGAGTTTACTTCTGTGTATGGGGCCACACGGTGCCTTTTCTGGAGGCCTGCGGGGCGGCGTCAACATGTGGGGTACACGTCGGCCCTGCTTCAGCTGCGGCGGCGGATGCTATGGCCGTGGCAGCGGCGTGGGGCGACGAAGCCTACACGCACCTGCTGCCAATGCAAACCCACTGCCCTTGGCCAAGCCCGCGCTGTGGCCGGGAGCGGTGCGCGGCGCGCGCACGGGCCTGGCCCGGGGCCGCGGCTGTGTATGCGCCTCGTCACCGGACGGCGGTAGCCGCGGCAATCCATCAATGATAGCACGCGCTTGCCATCCAAGACCCCGAACGGCGAGTTGCTGCACATTGGAGACGCAAGATGCTGCGCCACAAGGTGCGCACATAGGTTGCGCCCATCCGTTGCGTCATGGGTTGCGCTATAGGTCGCGCCCCCAGGGCGCGTACTAGATTGTGCCGTAGGCTGCGCAAACACAGGTTGCGCCTGTGGTGGCGCCACAGATGACTGCGAACACGAAAGCATGCCCGTCAACACCACAGCACGCTGGTGACAACAGCAGCCACAGCAGCAGGAGGAGCAGCAGCGGTTGCAGCAAAAGGAACACCAGGAGGAACAGCAGCACGAGCAGCGGGACGAAGACCAACCAGGAACAAATAGCAAGAGGAGACGCAACAGGAGGACCAGCAAGAAGAGCACTGGGGGAGAAGGCGAACCAAATGAGAATCAGGAGGAGCACCAGAGCAGCAACAGGAGCAGCAGCAACAACAACAACAACAACAACACCAACACCAACACCAACACCAACAACAACAACAACACGAACACCAACAACAACAACAACAACAACAACAACAACAACAACAACAATTACTAGCACGTGGGGACACACCGTTCTCACCAGTGCCAGGGTTTTCATAGGAGGCGGGCAATACCCCCACCTTGTGGGGGGGCCGGTTCAAGCTCTACCAAATTTCCAAACGACTCTTCGCCACCACCCACACCCAGCTTCCCGCCCTATGACGTTCGGACACTTCACTTCGTGGCATGCGGACGACCGTGGCTACTATTCAGGGCCCCGCGGCCGACGACGACGGCGTGCGCGCGCGAAGAAAAAACGAATGTGTCCCGCATGGTATTATTTGACAGGGATGATGGCCCTGGCAGGTGCGCAACCGTTGTTGCAGAAGTTCGAAAAAGTTGCTCGCAAAAGCCCGTTTGACAGAAATGATTAAAAAGTGTTGGGTTTCCTACGAATCCGCAAGAGCGCGCGGGATGAAAGTTTGACAATTCTTTTTCGAAAAACCATTTTTTTTTTATTATTATTTTTTTTTAAATGTTTTTATGTTAAAATCGCTACGCAAACTAAGGTTTTGGAAGGATTTCGTCTTGCGCGCGCGAATGTCCACTTTACCTTATTTGTTGCAAGGGATTCTTCAAGTTTGGTTATGTTAGAACAAGAAATGCCCACTTTAGCTTATTCTTTTGCAAGGGAAAACCGATCGTAACAACACAACCGGATCCGGACCAACCCGTTTTGCCTGAGACCTCCTCACGGAAATGATGAAAATGTGGCTGCGGCCTAGGCGCGGCGGGGGGGTCGCGCACCAGGGGCCCCAACAATAATTATTCTTTAGAAGTAATAATGTTCAACAACAACAACAACAACGGCAACACCGCATTCCAAACGAGCACGGCAAACCCGGCGAACCGAATGTTTAGAGCATGTTTTTTTGGATTCAGGCAAGTTTACTTGCATGGCGCTCGCCCCCCCCCCCCCCCCCCCCTCGCCCCTCTTCAAGCGAATGCTAGCGTGCAAGTGCCTTTCGGCTTGCGTGATTCCCGCGCCCCCCCCCCCCGGGCTTGCTTCAGGCTCAGCCCCCCCCCCCCGTCCATGCAAGCAAACTTGCCTGAGTCAAAAAAAAAGACAGGCTCTTGCGACCGCTACACCATGCTCGCGAACACCAAAGCATGCCTGTCAGCATCGCAGCACGCCTGTGAGCATAGCGTCATTTCAGAAAAGGACGCTGGCACCACTCACGCGCATGTTCGGAACTGTTACGCTTGGGGGGAGGTGGGCGACAACCAGTCACGGACGTTACGGGTTCAAATGATAAACAACATCACTTTTGTGTTGAATTCCCGCCTGACCTGACCCGCCCGTCCGCCCGACCCGCCTGCGAGCGCCCGCCCCCCCCCCGCCCGACCCGCTCGTTCGGGCCCGCTCGCCCCACCGCCCGTTAGCGCCGCCCTCGCCCTCGCCGTCCTCGCCGTCGTCGTCGCCCTCATGGATGTCTTGCTGGAT